CCCCCACTACCCTTGCCCCCACCCCTCCACCCCCCACCTCCGCCATGGGTATGTGAAGATAAAGAATGTAGTAACAACCATTAGAGGGTGGTGCCACCACCTTGATTCAGGCCAAGATGCCCGCTGCTTGCTCACCATTCCTTATGTAGCATCAGTGTAAATATCCACAAAGTGAGAAAGACAAGTAACCTCTTAGAAATTATTATAATTTTATGATGTCGAGAATCCTCTGAAAGAATGTGGGGCGCCCACAGACCACACTTTGAGAACTGCTGACTGACCCAAGGAAGCAATCAGGCCAGGGAAGTACACACAGCACCACTACTGGCCCTGAACGTTTCAGCATTGCACCTTTCAGCTCAACGTGTGGGGGATAAGAAAGAGTTTACAAAATTGAGAGCTATTTTTTTATTTTAATATTTAGGCTTATTTAAAACTGTAAACTGCCAAGAACTCAGGAATCAATTGAATAGAGAAAAGTCTCAATGCAGTCTCATCCAATTTATGGTCACTGAGATAACTGAGAATGATTTGTGACTTATCAATACGAAATAATCTATAAATAAAATTACTATAATCAAGAGTTCAACGAGAATTATATACTTGTAGAGCAGACTGAAGCACCAGGTACACTGAAGTAGTTACAAATATATCAAACCTATTTGCCATTCCTACTGCTTATCCCACCAACACTCATTAGCTTAATTTCGTTTTATTAACAAGCTTTAGTTAAATGAGACCAGTATTGACTTCAAATTCACGAGACTATGTCATATGACCTGGATCCGTTAGGAACAGGTTCAAACAATCAAAATAGAAAACCTCAAATTCCAGGGGCTTAAATAATACTCCTGTCTGTTTCTTGCTCACACGGGTGACACTAGGGAGGCTCCACCAGGTCGTGGGGCTGAGCTCCTCGCAGTCCACCCCCCGCCCAGCCAGGTCCTTAGTCTACGGTCCAAATTGGCTACTGGAGCTCCGGCCAACAAGGAGAACAGATGCCCACACTACCAGCACAAGCAAACAACACTCCTTCCTATTAGCCAAATCTTTGTCACATGGTCATAGTAGGTGGGACAGGGAAACAGCTGTTTTGTGGCTGGACTGCAGAGCCCAACCAATACAGGGTTCTTGTCACGAAGGAAGGGAGCGTGTCGAAAGCAGGGAGCGGTCTTGGCTCATGACCTGCCACCAAGCACTTCCACACAGATTATCCCATCTGAGCCTCATAGTAACCCTCGAGGTGACCTGAGGCGTTATTTTCACCATTTTAAATCTATGGAAACTGAGATCCAGAGAGTAGAAAATGATCATATGCTCTTCCAGCAGGATCCCAGAAAAACTTCCTTTTTTAATTTGTTGATTAATTTGAGAGAGAAAGAGAGAGAGAGAGGAAAAAGGGGGGGAGGGGGGAGAGAGGAGGGAGGGAAGAAACACTGATTTGTGGTTCCACTTATTTATGTATTCATTGGTAGATTCTTGTATGTGCCCTGACTGGGGATAAAACCCACAACTTTGGCATGTGGAGAGCGGCTACAGTGTTTGGACAGG